ACATATATACATACACATACATACATACATACATACATACATAAAACTTCCATTATTTTTTTCCCAACTGTTTGTCCATCAGTCCCAAGAGGAAGACTTCTGGCCTCAGTTGCATATTCATCTTTAAAATTCTCTGAACCAGTGTATGTATTTGAATCCAAAATTTTCTAGCTTTTTTACATGTCCACCAAGCATGATAAAATGTCCCTAACAGTTGTTTACATTTCCAAAACACATTTGATGTTTCTGATATTTCTTAAGGCGTAGAACAGATGGGCTTCCTTCATGGCCCCAGGTTTTCCATCATCTCCCTCTGGATTTCAGCATGAAAGACCAGTTTTGTACATAGGTCTCTTTGACTCTTTCTCAAAACTGTACAAGTGCCTACTATCCCTACAAAGTTAAGAATCTGCTTTGGGGAGGATTGCATTTTTCTTTCTGTATATTTCTTATCCTCATACAGGTAGTCCTCATTTAGCAACTGCCTCAGATAGTGACCATTCACAAATATGACAGTAATAAATGGTAGTAAAAAAATCATTTTCCAACCAATGTACCACAATGCATGCTGGAGTGAGAGAAATGCTGGCGTTGCTGCAAGAATTTTAATGAAATGGCACCAACCAGCAATCTTCACAGCATCTCTCTTTCTCTCTCTCTCTCTCTGTCATATGATTTGCTTAGTGACCATGTCACTTAGCAACAATTTCATCGGAACCAATTGAAAACAGGTTTACCTCACTCCCATTTCACCCCCCCCTTCTGTCTTTGAATCTCTCTTGCGCATGTTGAAGATGTTCTCAGGTTCCCATGTTGGTATGACCTTGGACATTCCTGAGAGCCAGATAATGGCCCATCTGTGCCTAATGGTTAATATTTCAACTTTCCCTTCCTCTCTCCTCTCCTCTACTCTAACGGCAGAAACGAAGCAAGCAAACTAGATGTGCAAGCGATTGATTGAGAGGATTCCGACACAGCTGTTTAGCAACTACTACCCTGTTGTTCCTTCTGTTCAAAATGTGTAGGGAACATTAAGTTCACCAACCTATGATTTCTATCTATGGTTACAGTAGGCCTACTTATTTGGTAAGAGAAAGGAATACCAGCCAAGTTATTTTTCTTTGGACCTTTGGATCCAACTTTTGATAACTGATAAGAAAATGTTGATGCAGCTCCTGAGTTATGTGTCCCTATTCATATTCCTCTGTAGAAATTCAATGTCAGCTTCCACAAGTGATGAATGGCCACATTCTCTCCTTGATGTCTCAGCAGTTTTTAATCATGGTACCTTTCTGGACTAGCTTCAAGGGTTGGAGTGGGCAGCACTGTGTTACACTGGTACTTCTCCTTCCTCTGGGGCCAATTCTAGTCAGTGTTGATGGGAAGAGAGGTCTAGCCCTCAGCTGGTGCTTTGCAGGTTGCCTCAGAGCTCAGCACCCTCCCCACTTCTGTTTAACATCAACATGAAGCCACTGGGTGAGGTTGAAGGCATTTCATTTGATTGTGAAAATAACTGAGAATAGTAGATGGCATTAGGA